TTAATGTCATCAGCCTGGTTGGCTTTGGACGACCTTGGTGCCTTATACCAAATATCCGAAGTATGACGTGTCATACTTCTTGTAACTAGGGGTACACTTAGGGCTACGTGCCCCGCTACAGAAATCCTTCTATGGAGGGATTTAGACGTGGAGATAGGAGAATTTACATTATTAGTTTGTTTGACGACATGTTCCGAGCCGCTGCAGATATTAATCTACAACAATATATTTCTTAAATGAACACTTTGGATAGACAGTGCATGCAATTTCTGGTCTATGTGCGAGCACTTTTCTGGATGTCATAACTAAGGGGGTTCGGTATATAAATAGTAGCACTTATAGTACCGCCTTGAGTGACTGATACTAACACCCCCTGTGAAAATCAAACTAATATAACAGGGTAGAAGTATTAGAATAATTTCAATAATACAGTCAAAAGAAATACTTGGAAGATGCTATTAATCCCTGGACAAAGCAATGCCAGGATATTCAGATATCAGGTGCCTTTCTGCCAAAATGCCCTCAGTTTTATGGTCCTACGTAGGAGGACTGTCCTTACGGAGATCCTCCTATTTGATCGGTTGCAACCGACTAAAATTTAGCCTAACTCTTTGACGAAAAAAAGACGATGCCAATCAAAGACATATGAGGCTGCGTCAAACAAAATGATACTTATGAACCTAAGTACGAATCGCGATTTAAGCACTCTAAACGAGTCTCCTCTAGTATCATTTTGTTTGCCGCAGCCCTCAACACGCGTGGTCCGGTCAAATATTATTTGACCGGACCACGCGTGTTTTCTCAGGGAGGACCTAAACCATAGCAATACCATACAACAAATTAACAAGGTAAGATGTAGCAGTCACAAAATTGATATTGTACAATACCTTCCATCCTTTAAAGTTTCATCGACATTTACGATTTGATCTGGCCCGGCAATAGCCTGTTCACATACTCTTGCCTCGCCAGCGTATGAGAACCCATATCTGATTTAAAATCGTTCTGTTGTGGATACCTTACGTAAGGGTAAATGGCCGGCAAATACTGGCCATTCAGCCCTTAATTTGTTAAAAGGTACCCTTTAGACCAAATCGGAGCCCTTACGTAGGGCCTCCACAATCAAGTATTATTGGATCATAGTCGGCAAAATCAAACAGTGCTATTGGTGAAATATCATTTGATTTAGTGGCCTGGCTTAGCAATTCAACCCCAGTTCGTCCTCAAATCCCACCTTTAGCCCTACCCACCCGCTTAGGACCAGCCTTTAAAGGTCAGATTGGCCAAAACTTTGGAAAGGCACAATACATCGAGGAACAGCGCGGCGGAAGATAAATCTCTGAATCTAGACATTGAGACTGGGCGAGCGAGGTGCTACCGTGTCAATAATTGTCGGCTGTTAGCAGTTTAACATGAACATGATAAAAAACACGCTTTGTGATTCAATTTTTTCCGGTAGCAGTTGCATCAGCCGCGGCTCATGGGAGTATGTATTGCTGGTCAGTCTGCGGTGGTCGCCATTGATTATCTCTAAGTTAAAGTATTGAGACAAACACGACCAGAAAGCCCCAGAGTATGGCCGAGACGGCGAAGCGGGGAATCTTTGGACGGTGTAAATAGTTATGTGGCAAACGACTCCTTTACCGGACTACATGCATTTCGTGCAACCACTGTAAAAAACTACATCATTAGAAATTGTAAATAATCAAAATCGGTAAAATCTGCAAACATAGTTCTCCGAACCAGTGGCTGGAAATCACTACAAGTTTTGACAGCCGATGCGCGAAGCGCTCCATACAAACGCGCACCGCCTCAAGGCGGTGGATGCGGCCTGTGAAAGCGGTGTCTCGACGAGCTTGGCATCCGAAAATAAGTGCCACCGCTCTACGCTGTATCGATGGACGAAAAGAAGACAAGACATCGAAGCCGCTGCAGCCGGGAGCACTACTATTCTTCAAGGGCGTCGTGGGCCTAAAGTTGCTTTTCCAGAACTAGAAAAAAAGTAAGATCATTCGAGTTTTATATATTATATTTTCTAACAAAATGCTGCTTTCTAGGCTTTGGACTGGGTTCGTGACATGCGCAAGAACAAGGTGCGCGCTGTCACGTCGAGGTGCCTGCTCATGATGAGCGCACATTTAGAGCCACGCTTTCTTCTCGGTCGCTCGGAACAAGCTGCTGTTGAGTACCTCCACCTTTTCCGCAGCAGAAATGGCTTGAGCGTGCGTCGTATCACGCACAAGGGTCGACGCAAGCGGAGCGAAGTGCAGGTATGTGCTAAAATTATTATTTCTTTTTAATTTGTTGCTAAAATACTAATTTTACTATTGAGGTCGTTGCTGACGAGTTCGGCCTCGCAATGCGCCATAAGATGGAAATGTTTAGCGCAGGAACTGAGAAGTATAATCACTTCTACAATATGGATCAAACCTCCATATATATTGACATGAATCCTAAAACAACTATCACGTTTCGTGGGGAACGTGACGTTGATGTTGTGCAAGGTAATCATTTTGTTACTGTCTTATAATATAAGACTTCTATACTATTGATTCTAACTGTGATCTAGGAATGTCTGAAAACTCTTTTCGTGCCAGTGTTTTTCTGTGCGCATCGGCCACTGGAAAGAAGCTGCCAGCGTTTATTGTGTTCTCTGGTGCCACAGGAGGCCCTGTTCACTGCGAGCTGCAAGCTCATCCGCTGCATAAAGCAGATGAGGTTGTGCTTACTGTGCAAATGAATGCGTATTGTGATGAGCGCATTACGATCGAATGGGTCAACGAGGTATGCTTTATTTTTCTTTAAATTTTGTTGTTTTTACTAATATTATGAGCAGGTGCGGACTCCGTCGGTCACCTTTTGCCGCATGCTCTTGCTAGACAGCCTAAAAGTTCACAAAATGGGCTCCGTTCGCGCCAAGCTTGAGGAAGCTATGACGGGTGTAGACTTTGTGCCAGCAGGAGCGACAGGACTTGCCCAGCCGATGGATGTGTTTGTCATGCGTGTTTTAAAGCACTGGTGTAGAGAGCTATACGTTCAACACCACATTACAAACGACTTTAGCTTGAACGCTAAGGAAAGACGCAAGTTAATCACGTCTATAGTGCACGAGGCGTGGAGGGCAGTTCCCCCCGAAACAATACAGCGGGGTTTTGTCAAGGCGGGCCTCGTTCCGATAGGACCACGAATGGTAGATGGCACGTTTCGTGTTGCCGAGCCACCAGCGCCGGAACTAGTATAGCATAGTTCACTCACTAAAAACTAAAAGTTTGGTGCTATTTTACATTTTTTTTGTCAAGGATGGAAGTTCGTTGTAGAAGGGGTGTCACCATATAGATTTTGGTTGTGTTAACTTTTTACGTTCGCTTGCATGAAATGCATTGGTTGCACGAAATGCATGGAGTCCGGTACTTACGTACTTAAGTATCGTATCGGTAACTTGGCGATGTATACAGTTTGAATCCATTATAAACGGCTGTCTGCACATGTACAAATCGATTTGTTGAACTAACTAACCTACCGGTAGTTTCCGGGCTTGAAAATAAAATTCAGACAATACAGTACACGTGAACTAAATATTAGTATTACCTGCTAGTATATATACATGTAGCAGGCTGCTACTAATCACACGTACTAATTTTTGTTTGTACCATCCAATTAGACGATGATATTTAAAAATCGATGTGTAGGCTTGTCTTGTTTTTACTAAAGAAAAGTATTACGCGCGACAGAAATTATAGCTGAATAAAATGTTTCGTACACGGAAAAAACAATCTTGTGGGCACTTGCGGTAGGTAAAGCAGTTCACATTCCATTTTCCAATTTTCCGGAGGACCCTATGCGTTTCTTCTGCTTCTTGCTACTCAACTTTTTTGATTGAGATCAGTTTTGATTCCACCTTCGGTGTTAGCGCGAAACAACTCAAAAACCCGGTCGTCGTCGATCCTCACCGCTGGCCAAGTTCTCCTAGTGAATTGCAGACTTCAGACGCCCCGACAAGATTCTTAGGGTCTCTCACCGAAGCTAAACAAGATCAGAACGACACTAAAGAAAGAACCAAGGACGAGAGAGCTGGATTTCCAGGAAAGACAAAGCTTGATGAACTAACTTATAAGATAGCTTTGAAGCGAGAGGTGAACCCGGGTGATCTTTTTCAGCGTATGCGAGCCGTGAGGGCTGGCGACAAGCTGGACAACAACAAGAAGTTTGTTATGTGGTTAACGTATGTGACGAAGTATAGAACCAAACGAAGAGAGACTACGTTCAGCGACGACAGGTTGTTTAACCTACTGACGAAAACTAAGCCAGAAGCTGAGCTGGTGACACTATTCCACTCCCTTCGACAGTACCCCAATTTCAAGAATATCGTGGACCAGATGCAAGCGTACATGATATTCAGATCCGCGTCCAGTCACAGATTGATAAATGAGGCTTGGCTGAAAGACCAGGGAGACCCCCCAACAAGTTTTCACTATCTTGCATCTTGGGGATGTAGCGGTGGATAGGTACGGCACCGACCCTTTATTTATTCAGTGGCTCAGATACATCAAAGCGTACAGAGCTGTGGTGGGAAGCTCTTCATTTTCAGACGCGGAAATGCTTACATTTATGCTGAAGAAACAAAAATGCACAATTGAGACGACGTTTGGAACGCTTTTCCAATCGATCAAGGACATTCCGGATTTAGAGATGTTTGCAAGAAATATGGAGACACGTCTCTATCGCAAATGGATAAATGACGACGAGGTTTCCCCAAATCGACTTGCAAGTCAACTAGGAACCCCATATATTATTGACATCAGGTTAATACCGAAAACGGATCCTAGGTACCGCAACTTAGAAGCATACACCACGCTTTTCGCTGAACACAATGGAGGGAAGGCGTTGTTGGATCAAGTGAAGAAGCTGTTTAGAGACAACGATCCTTACGCTGCTCTTGCAGCCGCTGAAAAAGCCTAGTGAATGACGGTTATTATCAGCCGGATAAATATCGATTTGCAGCCTCAATCAGCACCAACGGGGTTCATAACGACTTTGAGATGTCTTTTGGAAGGCTCACTATTATCATGTTGACATAAATACTGACGTCAATCAGTCGCTTCTCACCTGGCCAACCCACGATACCCGTCCTCTTCATAATATTCGCAGGTGTACATTGGGTTACACGCTGCAGCAGTTGAAGGGTAACCCGGGATCCCCAATGAAGCAATAGCATTCCTCCCATTAGAACCCGTCGAGGTCATGGGGATACACCTGAAGAAACAAGTGAAGCAGTTCATAAAGAAAGAAGAATCCTTCTTCCTGGTCTCGGAATCCTTGGCTCCGTCAAGAGTATCGAACGTAAACGCCATTTCCCCCACGTTTCTTCTCATCGGAGAGCTCTCCGGACTCCCATCCAGATAATCCGGTCCGGAACGTCGACGCAGCGTATTTATAGACTCTTCATCCGAATCATTTCGCGTTTCGGAATAGTCCGAATCCGAATCATCCTTCGCGCTTTGGATCGCCTCTCCAAGCAGCGCCGACAGGCGTCTGGCATCAGTTTTAACCTCGTGCAACTTGCTCTTAACCGCTTCCCGAGCTGCTACTTTCTCCTCGTATTGCTTCGCCGATCTCTCGAGATCTTGCGTTGTCGTGGTCTGTAGCAGTAGCTCATCCTCCACAGCATTCACCCAGCGCTTCCGTTCCAGACTCGACCGAGCTCTGCACTTGACTTGTCGACCAGGAACGACGACGATCGAGAACTCGTTCATGGCTACATCGTCCCCGTCATTTATTGCAATACCTAGTAGCTCATACACTGCCACAGGAGTCGGTGCTTCCCCCGACGAGATAGCTTGACTCTGGTTGGCGTATACGAGCCAGTGAGAGCCCAGCACGACGCAGAAGCGTGTTTTCCAGAGCTTTAGCGGCTTCATCTTCCTAGTCTTCTTGTCACTTGTCTTCTGAGGATCTTTCAGCTTGAGATACCCTTCCATTCTCGCGCCTGGGATAAATGGCATCGAGGCATCTCGCGACACTGTGCTTGTTGCCGTTTCTTTCGTTGTTGCCGCGCTGATGGCACATTTCCACTCAGACGCGTCTTCCGCGGTCTTCGCTGTGAGCTCCAAGTACACCCCGCGACTCGTTTCGGCTCGAAAGCCCGTTCCTTTTAACCCAGAGCCACTTCGACCCAGACTGGTAAATACGGGATGCCATTTCTCTACCCCCACAAGTTCGTGGTTTTCTACTGCCAAATTTGGGAATCGAGGCAAACCTTCGTCATCAAGTTCACAATTTTCGGAAAAAATTGTCAAAGAACTGTCTTCAAGGACAACAAACCGTTCTCGCCAAATGGACCCCAAATTATGGTGTCGTACCCGGATATAACCCTTCATCTGCGCTGGTGTAGAGGCGTCAATATTGTCGTTTCTCGCTTCTAATTGTGTCGCGAGATGAGCTGCCACTTCTTGCGTGAATTGTCGTTCGGAAATACTCAGAGATCGCTCTGCTGCCACAAAGTTAAGTTCGTGGTGTATCACTTGAATCCACTGCTGTTTGGCTTCCATACTTGGAGCTGTGAAGCAAGTGCAGTGGCGAGATCCCTTGACGTCCATTTTGAAGCCGAGATTCTCGTCTTCTCTGCCAATTGTCAGCCACGACGCAGTCGGCGCTTCCCACGATGAACAAGCTGTGATCTCGATATCAAGAGACGGAGGTTCATCCTCCATGGCAGCTGCCTCTCGAGAGGAATAACATCGCAAGCGACAGCCAATAAGAACCGCGTACACGGGCATTACTGGCTTCATCTTGGAGCTGCCGGGGATACGGATGGGCGACGTTGAAGTCTGCCACGGAGTCAGAATTCCCTCCACGGCAGCGGTTTTAAACACGAACCCGGCGTCTGTCGCAAGAGGTTCGCTACCTTCCGCTTCGGACACGTCCAGAGTCGAGGGTTTGTCTTCGAAGCCACTGTCGTCAGTGTCGTCTTGGCGACTGCTTTCATGTTCGTTGGATATTTCTATTTCTTCGTGTTTCTCTTCTTCTTCTTCTTCTTCTTGTTCGAGTGTCAACATGATCTTCTCATCAGCTAGAAGCGCTTCACCCCTGGCAAAGTCGATTCGGCTGGCAAACGCTTCCGTCCATTGATCACGTTGGGACGGAAGTGAAGGGAAAAACTCGAGCATTGACGTATTTTCATTGTAGCTGGCGTTTGTATCGGCCAAGGGGTGAAGGACCACGGCAAACGCCAAGGACGACGACGCGACGTCTTTGGTTCCAGGGAACAGATGACGCAACTTCGATTTCGTCTTTGGACTGTGTGTCGACACTGAAACTGACGCCACCCCATCTGATAACAGCTCCACCGCTTGCGCTTCACATGTTGGAGCATCGTGACGATAATACGCACTTTCATCGTCATACACAGCGACTTGGCCACGCATACTCAGCACGATAAAGCCTTCGTGTGGGATGGGCACTTGCGAAGCGTGTCGAGCTTCACTGGAAGAGAGCGGAGACTTTGCAAGACGGAAAGACAGATACCCCGTTATCGGAGGCTCCTCGTCATCATTTTGATGCGAAATAACAGGTGGAGAGGGTGCAACACTGTCTCGATCGTCAAAGTCGCGGTGGGTCCTATCCACCAGACTACGTCGACTAAGAGACATGGGAGATCGCGTTTCTAGCAGTTGCTCCTCGAGCATTTCCAGTGCTGCAGCTTGTTCTGCACCCACACGAAGCTGGCGAATCCATTTCGCCCGCTCGGCATCTGTGGCGGCACTGCAACTCAAGACAAATTGTTCCTGTGTAACAATTTGGAAAGGAAACCGAGGAGCTCTGTTCCCTGCTGTCACCGGCCAACAACGCGCTCCAGGGGTCCACGCCCGAGTGCTCACGACTCTGAAACGAGCCTCTTGTGCTACTTTTGTTGATTTGCTAATCACAAACTCATTTCCATTCTCTAATGCCACACCACGCTCTTCAATTGGTGTAGCCATTTCACGTCGTTTCCAATGTTCGTCTTGTGGATACTGATAATCTACTCGCAATAGTAAGAAGCCACGCGCATCGACGGTACTGTCATGGCTGGAATCCACGCTATCGTCCGCTAGTAAACTCTGAGCCAACACGGTGTCAAGCGCTGCACGCAGCACTTGCACCCACAGACGCTTCTCCATCGTGTCGCGAGCTTCGAAGCGTAGCCATTCGTGTTCACTCGTCTCCACTGCGAACCGATTTGTTGCAGAGTGATGGTCGTCGTCTTTCACGGCCAAGACAATCATTCCTTCCCCCAGTCCGGCACCTCCAGTTTTGAACCCTTCACGTGTGGCAAAGAGGGAGATTGTCAACCCATCGATTGCCACATATACGGTTTGCGCACGTTTCCAAAGGGAATTCGAATTTTCACCCGACGTTTTCTTTAAATAGCCATCCAGTTTCAGAGTTGCCAATGCGGTTGCTTGGTCAGGATGCGGTGGCAACAATGTCAAAAGAGTTTCATCTGTTGCTAAACTCGTTCCATACGCTTGATCGATAGCTTGCAGCAGCGCCAACTCACGCTGAACGTAGCAACTCAATAGTAAATTCAAGTCGGGAAGCTTTGCAGGGTTGCGGACACGATAAAAATCTGCCAATTTGTCGCGAAATTGTTCTCGTAATTTCCGATTTTCCTCGGTTTCATCTATATTGTCATTTTCTCGCTGTTCAATGCGAGAGAGCGCAATACCGCGACGGAAGGCGTCAACCCACTGTTGCTTTTCCTTGGCGGTTGATGCGGCACAGAAGAACGTTTTGCCGTCAGTAGTTTCCAGTTCCATCGCGTGTTCGTACGTGTGTGTGGCAGTCTTGCCGTGCCAATCTCCCACAATTTCCACTCGGAAATTCCCCAACGGATTCGTTGTGGCGCCACCGCCAGGATTCTTACTGTCGTCGTGTGTGACGTAGTACGTCAACTCGTTGCCAATGAGCACACAGTATCGCTTCCTCATAGAAGGAATCTTGTGGCCGCGTTTCATTAGATACCCCTCCATTAGAATAGCTTCGTCACTTGGAACCTCTGGTATTTTATTATCGGCAACACTGTGTTTCTCGGCGAATTTCGCTGCAAGATCGGCACACAACGACGTGCATACCGGATCTGTCGCCAGGTGACTCTTGTAGACTGTGTCAATCTGCTCCAGTAACGCGCCTTCGCGTCCTTGAAAAGAATGAAGTAAAGTATCCACTTCCGAAACTTTTGACGGGTTATTCTTCTCGTAAAATTCCACTATTCGAGCACGAAGCTGGTCGAAAGAAGTGCCCAGATTCTTCTTAGTTTCGGTGGTAACACGCGGTTGACTTGCCACTGCAGTGCGCAATGCGTGGGTCCAGTCGTGCACAATCTCCGCCGCATCGGAGCGGAGTAAAATAACGCCGTTGGTTTGAGTTTCCAGAGGAAAGGCTAGTGTTTCGGCCAGTTTTGCAGTCACCGGATGTAGACTCACCACCACGTCAGACAACAGCGCTGTGTGGCCACTGTGGGCGACGACACTGCTGTCGTAACATTGCCAATTTGTGCCGTTTAGTATGCAAAAGCACTTGCGATACGACGCCCCCAAGCGCGGATGCTTCACGGACAAATAACCCTCACGATAGATTGCAACACTTGGACGCACATTGGGAGGCGATAATTGCGGCAAGAACGCGTCGAAACTTGCATCCGGGCTCACATTAGTGCCATATGTCGCATCCAGCGACACTAAAAGTTGCCGTTCCCGTCCTGCAAAACTCGTGAGTAAAGTTTCCACATCTCCGACACGTTTCGGGTTATGACGCTGGTAAAATTCCACCAATTTTTCCTTGAAATTTGTAGCTTCGGTAGAAATAACAGAAGGTTTAGGGGGTGTAGTTGCCGCTGCCTTTGTTGAGGCTGGTGTAGGCTCTGGCTTAGACTCACTGGACACCGGTGTTAAAGCGCTTCGTAGTTTCTTCATCCACTTCTGCTTAGCTTCAGTCGAAGTCGCTTCCAGTACCAACAACTCGGTGGACCCACCACCTTCCACTTCGTACCCACCGGACACGAAAAACTGCAGCTCCTGGTCTCCCAAAGACGATCGACTCATCGTTGGAGAAAGCGCCGGATAGTCATGAATTCCCGTCACTACGAAGACAGCCAGCGGATTTCCACCTTCCGATTCGAGGCGCTCAAGACGATTTCCAGCCAGGACACAGAAACTGGAGGTCTCATCTTTATTCCACGTCAAATAATCCGTGAGATCCTCTGACGAATAAATTGCCGGAGACAGAGAAACATGGTGAGGCGGTGCCGTGGGAGGTGGCGTCGGGTTCGCCATAGCTGCTAACATCATGTGGATGTTTGTATCTCTAGCCACCGACGTGCCATAGAGACGGTCCAGGTGCTCCACAAGCGCTTGTTCGCGTCCCTGATATCGAGATAACAGCATGGGCACATCACCCAATTTGCCTGGATGGTATTCAGCGTAATATTGCTGTAGGATGGCAAGAAATTCTCGTCTTGCCGAGTCGTACGACGGTGGCTGTTGACGTTGCCCGGTCATTTCTTCTTCTGTTGATTGCTCGAACACTTTAGAGCCACGTTTGCCCTCGTGCTGATACCGTAGTAAGGCTTGTTGCACACTGTTGACCCAATGGTTTTTCTCTTGCAGACTAGGGGCACTGCAGTAAATACTTTGATGCTCGGTAGTCTGCAGCAAGAAGCCGTGATCGTAGTGCATCAACGTCGCGTGGCCGTCCCAGTTGGATACACCACTGACATGGAACGTGTTGTGCGAAGTAGAGCGCTCTACCTTCGACGCTTCTTGGTGTGTAGCGAAGGTGTACAAAGTCAGTGCTCGTAGCACACAATATTTCTTCTTCATGGTCTCTTCGAGCGACGTTTTCCCCACCAAATAGCCTTCTACCACCACTTCGGACGTCAACGTCTCTGCCTCTGTAGCTGCTTCGATAACTGCCGTCTCCGGCTCTTTCGTCTCCTCGCTCTTCGCTTCGTCACTGCTCTGGCGTTTCGGAGACACCGGAGTGGACGCCAACAAGTCGAACGAGTCTCGACGTGACTTGGCAGCTCGAGCTCGATGAGGAGACAACGGAGGCATCGTGAGCCCCACGTGCAGAGCAGCGATCCAGTCTTCCTGGTTCTTTTTAAGTGGTGCACTGCAACGCAGCGTCTTCCCTTCGACTGTGAGTACAGCGAATGCGTTCGGGTTTTGCTCGTTGGAATGGGCTTTGGCACTGCTACTAAACGGCACCACAAGTCGTCGAATAGGGGACGTTGGCTTGACTTTGCCGTCCCATTCCGACACTTCTGCGACGTGTAGAACGCCACTCGGCGCGTCCATTTTGTGGACGAACGCGTCTTGGTCAGCGTACCAGCACAACGTGTTGCCAGTGAGGACGTAGTAGCGACGGTGCATCGTTGTTCGCATGGGGTGTTGGCATAGCAAATACCCCTCTACCAATGGATCTAGATGCGACGGTCGGGCGCTTTCCGCGTCGTCTCCCCATGAGGCTAGGCGTTTGCTTCGCTGTTTGGCACGTTGCGCGTCTTCCAGACTTTTTGCGGCCACTTGACGGAGGATTTTACTCTCTTGCGCACATTTTTGCACTCGTTGCACCAAATCCTGTTGCTCGTTCGAGTTGGCTTCAGTTTGCACTTGAAGCAACTCGACGTTGCGGCCGTGTGTGGCTTCGGCACTGGCGGCCACTTCCACTTTGGCTGCTAACCTCTCGACGGCTTCCATCGCGTGGTCGAACGACGAGTCCTCGGACCCTAACGACGACGCGTGGACGCGCTGTCGGGCGTCTTCTAGTGCATGTTGAAGCGTCTGGAGCTTCTGTAGAGCCTCGTGTTGCAACGTCTTTGCCGTCTCCAGTTGCGTGTTGAGTTCCACTGCGATCTCTCGATTCTGTTGCAATGCGCCCTCCGCGTTGGCTTGTTCTCGATGATGTCGTCCCGCGGCTTCCACAGCTTCAGTGGCTTGTTGCACTGCTCGACTGTGACGTTGGGCGTCTTGTTTCAGCTCTTCCTGAGCCTCAGCGATCTCTTCTTGAGCCATACGGTCAGGTTCTTTCAGAGCGTGTTGCAGGGCTTCGAGCCAGACTTGTTGGCTCTCTCTCGTGTCTGCGCGACACTGAAGTGTACCGCCGCCGTCCGCGTCTAGATACTTGAGCACCATGTGCGGCGGATGATGCGTATCGGCCGAAGAGCTGCCCGGCATGATCCGTAAGTCGATTATCTCGAGAACTCGCTTGGGCACGGCACCGGGGCGTTGAGCCTCATCTTGACTGAGGTAGAAGGACAACATGGTGCCTTTAAGTACGGCATAGTGTCGCTTCCTGCATGAATATTGCGTTAGTACTATGACTGTATTGCGTGTTCACGACAGACACGCACATGCTGGGCACCTTGCGCCCCCGTTTCCAGAGGTAGCCCTCCATGGTTAAACGTCTCCACTAGTAAATTAAAGCGGACTTTTTCAAAGGATCCAAATTCGACTGAAGAGGCGTCAGGGCGGTTGCCAATCCGAAAAGACTCGACCTCGTCACTTTTGATCATCAGACGGTTTTAGCTGGTCGTCCACGTGGCAATTGAAGTCCACACACAGGATTTGCAGCGCAACAAACCGCATGATTGATTGCCGATCAGTGGCAAAACAGTATCACACGTCACCACGTCACCATACGTGCGGTTTTTAAGCTCTAAAGACTTTATTACTTTGAAGACGAAAGGTACAAGAACCACAGCGCCATAGTGGGGGGGCTCAACGAGCGACACTGAGCAAGAGATATAGAGAGCTGTTCTTCATCCTGATTGTTGAGCCGACCGCAGTCGTGCTTTCGTCCTTACCACACTCTGGTGGTCGTTGCAAACGCCATATATGAATGTGTAGTGACGCCCAGCTGATATCCCGAAGCCTTCCATCGGGCCCTGATGGTATCAGTGATACCCGTCCACCTGCCGCTTGATGACATGACGACCACCAGAAGTCGTCGCTACGCCCGACAAGCTGTTGGAGGGGAGCCACTCGACCATCGGGCTGGCGACAGCGAACACCACTTTCGTGTGCAATGCCAGTCAGTCCGTGGCAGTGAGTCACAACCCTGCTGTTGTTGTTCCTTTCTCTCCTGAGTCCGGCTGCTTGCACACGCCGTCGCCCTTCCACGGAGAAAGTAAACGTCTTTAGGTATACTTCGTCAGCCCGGCACTGCACGCACAGGTGGCGCTGGCATTCCAGATTGGGCAAGGCAACCTCAAGGGACGAAGAGGAGTCGCTCCTTTAAGCTGTTGCATCCTTCGAAGTGCTTGTCGCCAGCTCACGTCAGCTTGCACTTCCGAAAACCTCATAACGACAGCAAAAGCTTCACGAGGAACACCCAAAATGCAACAGTGGACGCCGCCTGAAAGCGCGGTCGCTCTCACCGACTTGTTGCGGTCGCACCCACCGCAGCAACAAGTCTACGTCAAACTTGAGCCGGTTACCGTGAGCTCGCGACGGGGGATTCTGGAGCTTCCACCGCTGCTCCCACCTCGTGTGCAAATGCTCCCAGCCATCACCGACGTCCTTCGAGCTACCAGCCCACAACACCAACGCTATGGGTACGAGAACCAGGTAAACACCGGGACCAGAAGCCTCCCTCGAACAGCCACACCTCCAAAAAGCAGCTACGCGGAGACTATTTCTCAATACCCCACTGACAACTTCGCTACCTATATCTGTACGTATAGCAGCAAAGGTTACGTGTTTGATATGCCGTTCTAACACCTTCTCGTCGTTGCAGGTTGCCCAAACACCACGGACTACAACCGGCACAATTCCCTCATGCCACCAAATGTACCACCTACTTCAAGGCAACTTCCCACTACTAGTGGGAATACGACGCCACCAGGACTCGTAAGCGCTAGAACGCACCCCATCAACATGCCGACTCCTCGAGTACCAGCTCGACCGGCCAACCGAACTTGCAGGTTTACCGGGTGCTTCCATTACGTGGTCGACAAAGGACTCTGTGTTCGACATGGGGTATGTTAGCAATTCTCTTCGAGAATTTCCCACACCTAACTCCTTAGCTTGTAACCTACAGGGTGGGAAGCGTTGCACAGCTGAAGGTTGCTCGAGTCGAGCCAAACATATTGGTCGTTGTTGGAAGCACGGTACGAGTTTTCTTCTGCTTTTTTGAGGTAATAATTTGGCTAACCGTATACCTTCCTCCTAAGGTGGATCGATGGAGTGTAAATCTCACGGTTGCTCTAACCGAGCCAAGTCTCGCGGCTACTGCTGGTCTCATGGCGGCGGTGCCAAGTGTAAAACAGAAGCTTGTGATAAAATTGCTATCTCTAATGGGATGTGCTGGGCTCACGGCGGAGGTACGCATGCATGCTGACTGTGACTGTTATCCTTGACTAGAAATTTCGATACTAATCAGTATCTTATGATCTTGCAGGCAAACGCTGTATCGTTTCAGGGTGCCGGAAACAGGCGTACGAAAGGACTTGCAACTACTGCAACGGCCACTTCCAGCAGTATCAGCAGACTGCATTGCAGCTAGCCAGGCATCAGCCACCACTCAAGCGAGCCGTTTGAGCTGCTAGGAGTATTTATTATTCTTCACACGTTGTTGAAACCTACACCTGGGATCGCTTCGATAAAGCAGATTATGTATTTTACGTAACTTAAGTATTCGCCATCAGTATTGCCTACTTCGACGTAAAGGAGGGTATCCTCATCTTGAGCGAAAATGAACGTGCTTGCTGCTGTTTTACACATCCTTTATCTGTGCCAAGTTATGTTGACTTAGATCGCTGCGATGGTGCGAAGTGAGATGTACAATTAGCGAGGCGAAAAGTCTTGAATTTGGTTGTAAACAACAACCAAATTTACCCCTTGGTCCTATTCATAAATTGACTAGCCGAGCGCCGCCGCTACGCGGCGGTAAATTAGGTTTAGTTCAACACGTTTTGGCATCCCCGCCTCCGCTACGCTTCGGCGGGATAACTATTGAAAAAAACGCTGAACCTAAATCGATTTTTTTAATTTATTAATTTGGGTCAGCATCATGCTTACCAGATTTAAGAAATAAATATTCTAATGTTCTTATATCAAGAATCTTGATGCAATCTCTTTTTTATTGCTGGCTATCACTGTATCTTCATCCTCCATCCAAAACCACCAGCACTTTAAATAACATTCATACAAACGCAACACAATGTGTTTAGTTTAGCGTTGTGCTCGATATCACGGGCCATTTCTGAGCCGCTATGAAACTTAGCTCACATCAGCGCAAACGATAGTAATGGCCTATCCAGTTTGCACTACTTATTAACACCTGCCTGCACTGCCTATTTCAGCTTGTATGTAACTAAAGATTGCTCACTTCTCATATCAAACTCAATGAAAGCTAAAACAAAATATTCAAATTTTACTATTTGTAATGTATGTGGCGTTCATTTTGTGCTGATTCTGAAGTAGCACTCGAATCTGTGTCAGTTATGATTGAAGCACTTAGATATTGTGTCGCAAGACGCCTTGCCGCTGTTGCTGTTGACGGTAGTGTTTTCTATTTGATAATGTAACGATGATTCCAGGATTATTGGACGTCATTTAGGCTCCAAGTTTACTAACGTTTCTTTATGGTGTCTGCTTCGCCAACTATAATTAACACCTCTCGTGTTTTGTTGTTGTATTGCCGCTCCATTTATACGGGTATCCTACGCCCCTGTCGGCGACCCGTCCGCCAGCTAAGTAGTATCGGATTTTACTGTCTAACAACTCTTAGAAAACAATGGCTTACAGCAGTCTCTTAGAAAACAATGGCTACAGCAGTAACACATCTGAATTCATTCTATTCAATCTAAAACTATGTATCTTTATGGATCAGGTGACAACGTTTATTGGCACAGCGTTGTTTTTGCGGCCAGCTTCTGTTCTACGTGTACTACTATTTGGCAGCTCTAAATCAGTCACCTCACACTCAGATATGTTCTTAATATTTCTACAACAAAACATTTGTGGCTATTATTTTAGTCATTGTAGTTGCAGAAACTATTAAGAGCATAGTATTACGTATATTATAGTATGGCCTCGAAAACACGTATTCCTACGCACGCTAAGCACCTTGCAGCATAGGAAGCGTCTTTAGGGTTGAGAATAAGTAGCACTCAAATAGATAGCAACATCCCATATTAAAATAGTACATTGATAGCAACATCCCATATTAAAATAGTACAAATTAAAATTTCGTAGTATTTAAACGATGCCGCCATCGGATCTGGTGCAAATCTCCATATGTGCTGCGAACCACATGACTTTCCTAATGTAACGTACATAATTTAGTTTTAGCCAATTAGAGCCGCCTTCGCTCCGCTCGACAGCCAATGATAAAGCTCAAAAACCTGAGCGTTTCGTGTGACGGACGGACAGACACCGTGCAAGCCTTGATACTTTAGGATACTAGCGGTCTGGGCGCCCGCTCCGCGGACGCTAGGGCATGGTTGGTTGGTGAAGTGTGGGCTGTCCGCCTCCACTGCGCTGCGGTGGATTAAAGAGCATTTCGAAATCAAAGCTAAATATATTAAATGCATTACGTGACCTACCAAGTCCGCGTTCCAAAGATCTCTCTGTACACAATATTGTTGGTGTGTACGTTCCCGTCCTCATCGATGGCCTCTGGATCCACAGCAATCTTGATCGCCTTCCTTGAAGTAACTCTCGACAAAGCCACATACAGCTGGCCATGTGCGAAGACCGGTGATTCCAAGTAGATACCCACGTGGTGGATCGATTGTCCTTGGGCCTTGTTGATAGTCATGGCAAACGCTGGAACCACGGGGAACTGCTTACGCTTGAGTTTGAACGGGAACTCCTTGTCATCGTCCTCACTATAAAAGACGATCCGAGGAATGAGCACCTTCTTACCCTTGAACGGCCCGGACATAATGCTGGCCTCGATGCTTCTCTCGCGCAGTGACACAACCCGAAGCCGCGTTCCATTGCAAAGTCCTGCGTCGCTATTCAGGTTGCTAATCATGATGATAGGTGTTCCAACCTTCAGAACAATCCTGTGCGGAGGGATACCGGAGAAGTTAAGAGAGTTCAAGAACTCCTGCTCAAACATGTTTGCGTCCGCGACCCCTTCGAGGCTGTCCACCGAGAGATACTCCTTCGTTTCACCCGATAGCCGTTCCGCAATCATGTCGTTGATACGCCGAACACTTGCATTTGTGGGGGCTAGTATGGCCCTCTCAACGAAGTATTCGTCGGGTAAATTCTCAGTATCAACGCCCGGGTACACCGCATCTATCAAGGCGTTGACATTGCGGACTCGTCGGTCTTCTTCAACTTCGTCCAAGTCTCGCTCGTGTTCCTCGTCCACCGGAGGTAGTAGCCTGAAACTTGGGGGAGGCTCCATATCCGCATCTTCTTCATCAGAGGTAATTTGTTGTACCCGTCGTTCTGGGATGATACACATGTCGCGTAGAAGGCATATGTCGCCATCACCGATCTCATGGTTGACTAGATAACGGCCTTCTCCGATTTGAAGTAAAAATTCAGAGAGCTCTGCTAGCTCAGCCGCACTGGCCGCGTCTGGGGCGGTGCGGACACGCATGTTCTCGGTCAGCCGCACTTGACGCAAATGCTCCCATAGGGGAGAAGACTTGAAGCAAGATTGAATCGTCTCCGCACGCATTATACAGCCAGCGCACCTTGTCCTCTTCGCGCCGTCGCTCAAAAATCTAATTTTGTGTTTTGAAAAATGAGTCGAAAAATATTGCCCAATCAGGGCGCGAGTTAATTGCGTCACGCTTTTGGATATATTTGTAATTTTGGCATAGTTAAGTCGAGTCAGAAAGGTAGGCGCGGTCGGTAAGATGGGACGAAAATATATTAGACAGGCCGGGTGTAGCCATGCGAAAAGGCAGGAAAAAGCAGCAAGAAAGGAACCGGACGGACTTATTGACAGACGGACGGACAGGCTGCAAGTTTAGGTGGCGGGAAATATTTCTTGTCTCTAGTCAGACCAGTTGATGAATTGATTGACCGGCACCGCTCAGGTTCAAACATCGAGCGCAGTCGGTAAAGATGTACAATTCGATTTTCTTTAGCATGTATTATTATGATCTAATAACATATAATGACCCCCCCCCAATAAACAAAATGAAAAGTAACAATTAGAAGAGCAGCTTCCACAATTCTTTGGGGTTAAAGAACCATTAATTAATGAGAGCTTATGCGATGACCATCAGCTCGAACCAAAAAGGGACGAGGAGAGGCGGGTCTTGCTTGTCTGCTTGCAGAGGTAGGAGGACAGCACATCAAAAACACAATGCACTTGTAAATTTTACAATATCATGTGAAACACACAACTAAACCATGATTTGCGCCGTGATGCGTGTACATCCAATCAATAGCAGCACACAGGAACAAAGTATAGTTACTCACAGAGCTTAGAAATGCACAATAGCCAATCGCAAGCTAGCGGGACGCAAATTTGTCCAATCAAATATTTTTATTTCAGCTTGTTCAATGTATCAAATAGTTCAAAAGTCGATTCACTCGTCAACCAGACCATTTTTCAAAGTCCTCCCCGCCAGTACGAGTCTATTTCACCGCTCACTACCTTCTCCCCAAGATGCCTAAAGCAGTTGTCTGGCGCCCCATGTGCACCGAGCTTAAAGAGAGCGACGCGCTTATTATTATCTAGTGTCTGAAGGCCTTCAAGATCGCCAAAGGTCAAGCAATTTTTTGCACATTATGTGCCGTTCCAACACCGCACTTGATGCGCTACAAGATTCTGAAGTGGCGCTGCACTCAGTGCAAACAAGCCGCCCCCTATGCCACGTGTCCGTGGAGGGAAAAATGCTAGTCTGTCTCGACCGCAAGGTCATGTCACTCTTTGAGAGTGGCGAGCATGTGACTAGAGCGATACTGCCACACAGTCGCTCCCTCACAGCCGCTCAAAAGGATTTTTCTAAGCAAATGACTCGGGCTGGTATGAAGCCGGATCGTATACGCACGGCGATGCTATTGCAGTTTGGTTTACGACCAAGCGAGCTACCAGCTCTACAAAAGGTGCAGAATGTCGTGTGCTACTATCACCGTACCAAGCTCAAAGGTAGTGACACAACTGCAACTATCGTGGCGGCTATTCAGAAGCTAGCGTTCAATGGTTCGGAAGAAGAACACGAACCTTTTACGTTTAGCTGGGACTTGGATGAAGGCAAGCTTGTTGTTGGTAATGGGTCCAATGAAAAGTCATTCCTTGTGGGCTTTTCAACGAAGGCGCTGCTTCGCTAAGCTTCCCATAACCCCGCGACCTTAAATTTCCACGTGGACGCTACCTACAAGACCAACCAGGTTGGATATCCAGTCTTGGTTATCGGTATT